CAGAAGGGTGGTCATGGCTTTTGTGTAAAGTGAGTGACCATGTGACAAGTCGCTTTGGCTGTACCCGGCTGCCAGCTTAAAGATCTTTGTCTACGAGGGAGTAACAAGGATTTGACGTTGTGATAAGCTTTGAGGGAGAATCATCATTAATTTTGGGGAAAATGAATGAAGGATGAAAGAAAAGATCTGAAAATTCAACAAACACAAAGTTAAAGATTGCAAAGTGTATGTGTGAATTTTTGCAAATCAGCGAAAAATGGCGAAATCTAGTGAAAAAGTATAAGTTCTTAAGAACAAAACATGACAGCCATCCATGAAACAAGGAAACGTGCACTATGGAAGTACAAGATAACATTCTTTGGCATATACGTCAATCACATAGCGATTTCATTGATAAGCAGAGATTTTCAAGAAAGGACAAAATATAAATATAGAAAATGACAGATAAAATGCAAAGTTGAAGGAGCTCAATACATTTCTGAATAATCCAAATATTCAGTAAGATGAGAGATTTCACAAAAAAAAAGTATCAAATATAATGAAGAGGAAAATAATATGAAGAGCGGAGCAATGAACTGCTATAATCTCTTTCTATCAAAATGTATAAATAAACAAAGGATACAAAAAAAGGAATGGACGGAAGAAATCCCCAAGCAGAAACTGGGAACTTGAGATATCAGAAGATAAATGCTTTCAAAGAAAGATTTCAGCCTGACTTATGATCTTTCTCCATGTCGTACAGTTGTGAGCTCATCTGCACCTACGGAACTACTACGGCTACAATTGCCAAAATTTCACTTGCACACCTGTAAATGTGCCCATTTTTTGCTTGTTTTGTGTATACTTTATTGTAATTTACCAGTATTTTAGTTTTTCTTAATTGATTAACTTTAAAGTAGCTTCAGGTTAAATTGTGATTCTACTGGATTTCTCCTAAGTTAGCTAGCAACGTGTCCTGTTCGCATCCCTCATGAACTCCTTAGTCATGTTCTTTTCTTATAGGTAAAACCTCTATGACCACATTCCAAATCCCTGGATTGGATTACGGAAGTGATGACAGCTCACCAGAAGCAGAAGAAGTTCCGCAGGTGTTTAGTCATTTATTTTTGTGGATGTTCTTCACCAAGAAGTTTTTAAACTTATTCGATATGTATAAAACAGTGTTGGCCAATAGCTAAAGGGTTATTTGTTACCTATAGGCTTCTTAGCTTCACATGCATTAGAACTTGAAACTAACCAAGTATTTTAGTGGTTTACATAGCTTCTTTCTCTTTTTGAACGGACTTTTTCTCTTCCTTATATTCGTTATTAGTAGGCAAGTTTCATTAGAAGTTGATACGAACCGAGGAAGTTCCATTATAATTTTATAACCTTCTCCATAGAAATTTTGCTCTCTGCTCTTCCAGCAATAATGTTTTTTGCAGGAAAATCACATGTGCATCGACTGCTATAGCATAGCTATGAAAATTGTCCAACTACCAAGTGGAGCTCCAGTTCCTGACAAGTATTTAGTAGTACATGAGTTGACTAGTTAGTTTATCGAATTTTGTATGCATCGAGAAAAGTTCCTTTTTTTCAAGATACGATCATTTAGATGAGGAGATGGCCACATTCGGTAATGCGTTGAAAGAAACCGATATTGATCCTGATGGAGATGATTTTATTCGTGAGTTTGCGTATACACGATATTGTAGCCTCTTCTCATTATTTTATACCTGTGAAAGGCGGTTCTTTTTCTAGATTGTGATAGATGTAATTGCTACTATCGTGCTTCATGTAAAGAACATCCGCTTTTCT